CACATGGAAACGTGAAGGGGGATGCTTCGAGACGATGTCTTTGAAGACATGGGGTTGAGGTTGCATTTGATGTTGTGTCTATATATGTGTATATGTGAGTTCTAGTACTTCCAGTTCAGGAGGCCTGCGATTCTAGTGCTTAGTGTCGTGTTAGCTGCTACCGTCCCAATTTCTTGAGTCTTAAGGCAGTAAATTGAGTATATGGTTTCCCGACAGGAGCACAGTCCTATGACGTGGCTTGCAGGGGACTACGACGTGGTGCACATTGCGTTCCGCAAGATGATTTTGAGTTTGACACACCAGGCCAGAATTGCGAGTCTTTGCGCTAGTCACAGTCAGAGCCCTGCAGTGTTCGGTCTTTCATCGTGTAGCCTGGTGGGTCGAAAGTCTGGAGAGTCTAGACGGTTTCCTTGAAGAGTCTAGTCTAAATAGTTCTAGGCTCTAGGCTTGTAAGCCCGTTGCTCTGAGGGATTTATGTCGTCCGACGGTGCAGCTGCGGAGACAGCTGTTTTGAAGGCAGCGCTGCCGGTGCTGAAGAGTTTGGTGAGCTTGGTGTACACGGATGACAAGATGAAGGACGTCGCTGCCTTGGTGCACAGCTTGCTGATTCTGGTGTCTCAGTCCACCTTTCTTGCGAGCGGTGTGAAGAAGATGATCAAGAAGAAGGAAGTCACGGCGATTCTCCTAGATCCAACCACGGAAAAGCTCCTAGATGAAATGGAGGCCGGACGAACGAGGCACAAGAGAACCCTCAGCCAGCTGCAGGAGATCGCTCTTAAGCTTGAGCCTTACACTAAACTTTAAAGCTTGGACCATGAGCCTTAAGCCTTAAGCCTTGGCCTTAACCCCTAAACCCTACAAGCCCTGAGCCTTGAGCCATACCCAAAACCCTCCCTACATGCAGGAGATGGTGGAGAAGATCAAGGCGCAGCTAACCCCAGATGCCGAATCTCCCTTGGCGAAGCTCTGTGACTTGACCACCGGCACTGTCCAGAGTTTCGAGCAGTACCTCGCACACAACCTTTGGGATGACACGCTCGCACGGAAGCTCAAGGACATGGAGCAAAAGGTTCTTGCGGAAAGCCAACGCCTTCTTGGCTTGTGCGACAAGAAACACGCAGCCGGGGAGTCATCATGGAAGGCGGGCCTTTCGGCCGAATCTACGATCGCCGATGTACTCGACGAGTACGTCAAGCACTTGGAGGACCTGGACGGCAAGAGTTTGCGCAAAGGCATCAAGGTCTTCGCCGAGGCCATTTGTAGCAAGAGAGAAACGCACAGATGTATGTATGTATGTATGTATGTATGTATGTATGTATGTATGTATGTATGTATGTACGTACGTAGGTATGTATGTATGTATGTATGTATGTATGTATGTATGTATGTATGTATGTGTATTGGTATTCGTATTTGTGGTTGTATTTGTATATCTGTATTTTTGTATGTGTGTACTTGTATGTATGTGTTCATATTTGTACTTGTGTTTGCACCTGTATTTGTATGTATGTATGTGTGTATGTATGTATGTATGTATGTATGTATGTATGTATGTATGTATGTAAACTTAGTATACTTATGTACATGTGTCTACGTCGTGTACGTGTTAGGTTTGCATGTCTGGATCGGGTTTCGACGAGCTGGGTTTCTTTTTCGCATCTTAACAGGCCCTCTCTAATAATGACTCTAATACAGACAGGTCCATGAACACAATAAGTATCAGGAGCTCAAATCGATGGGATCCTTCTTGGACAAGCATGGCGATGGCGTGGGCTCCGACACCAAGGACGTGTTTTCTTCCGTGAGGGTGACCTATGATGCTGTTACGGAGGATGCCAAACAAATTCAAGCTTTGGTGATCGAGTCTATGATGGCACATGGCATCCGGATGCTGACAGCGACTCCGGGGGGTGACCAAGATGCAGCTAAGCGCTACGATAAAGGCATGAAATCCATCGTTGAAGCCAATGCTCTTCTGATTGGCCGTGCGAGCAATGTTGAGGATTGCAGTATCCAGGCTGCCTTGCTGGAAGCAGCAAGAGCCAAGCTCGTGTAGGCCATGCAATTCTAATTGCATGCGTCCATTGCAAAGCCCCGGTGCCTAGTGTCGTATTGTGTCGGCAACACGAATTCCTCAGTATGTTTCCAGCTATGCATGCAGGCTTGCAACCAGCTTGTACCATGCACATTCACTGGGCATACACTTTCATAGGACGTTCAAGTTTGGCTCTAGGCCTGGGCATTGGACCAAGGGTCTGGTATTGCCCCGTCAGTCGAGGTTGTAATTTGGGCCAAAGCATAGAACGCAGGAGGTTCTAGCGTGGTCTTTGACAAGGTTAAGCGGTATCGGACAGTTAGGGTTTCGTATGGTGGGCTTTGGGTTGAAGGCACAGGCTCAGGACATAGACCGTACCTGTAGCCCAAAAGACCTACCTTTTTACGGAACTATATATATATATATAGAAACCATAATAAGCAACACTAATAGGTAGGTCTTTCC